ATGGTTGAAATACTGAAATAACAGTCAAAACAATAATTTTTTTGGGTGAAAAATCATTACCAAACGTGGGCTGAATAAGGGCATGTTTAGTAGTGATTATGAAAATTGATTTTTTTATCGTTAGAGAGAAAAATAGGGTTCCACCTGTAAATGGAGAAGTAAAAAATGACTTCTACAATAATGAAATAACGGTCAAAAAATTAATTTTTTGAGGTGAAAAATTACTAGTGAATGGTGGCTAAGTATTTGAGAAATTCATGCCTATCTTCAAATGTTGATAAGACGGTACTAAGAGAGACTCTGAGCTTTAAAATCAAGGAAATGACTTGATAATAACATCTTATTAACTGGACTCCAATAGGACTTAAATATTTAAATAAATATCTTACTTTCTGTGGGAAAATATAGTCAAAAGTGGTTGGAAATGTGGAAATAGATGGCTCTTGTGGGGATTTTAGAATGTTTGAATCAATTGATAATACAATTTCAAAGTACAGTGCATGAAAAATCTTAACAATTCTGTTTATAATTTCTAACTAGTTATCCAATAAATTTGATATTGAATTTTACACAATATAATACAAAGCAAGAAAATTTCACTTGTTTTGGTATTAAAAAATGGAGATTAAAACAAAACTAATACAACATATATCAGACATGTTTAATTGTGTTTAAAAGTAACTTGACCTTTAATCCGACTCATGATTGGATTTCAAAATTAAGAGGGTGTTTGGTAAACATTTTTATATAAAAATGTATTTTTAAATAATAAATTGATGAAAAATGTGTGGTTAAAAAATAAGAAATTTTTTTTAATTTACGTGTAAAATTATTTTAATAAAGAACGTGTGATTAAAAAGAAGAGAAAGAAAAATGTATTTTGAAAAAAATGGATACTAAACAGGGCCTAAATAAAATGCACTTTGCTCCTCGTGAAAGCAAAAGCCAAAATCAAATCCTTTAAAATCATGCTACTTGTACATTGAATTTGACATTATTTTTTATATTGTGCCACGTGGCGACATCACATTGGACAGTTTGAAAATAAAGAACACTTCCCCCACCAACACTTATTTTGAAAACAATGAAATGTCAAGAATGATGTTAAAATATTAATGTACAAATAGCATTGTTGAATCCTTTACACCCCCCATTCATATTGATGGTTCTTCTTTTCCACTAATTTATGAGTTTTCTTTCAGTAGTGAAAGGCTTCTTTTAGTTGAAATTAAGAATTTAGAACTAAACCTATTTTTCTGTGCTTAATTGAGCTTAAACAAAAAAAAGTAGACGCTGTAGCCGTGTCACAGCAACTACAGAAGAAAAACACATATTAACTTATTGGTGGAGCCAGGTTTTGCAATTATTTTATGTAAAAAGTGTACTTTTTTATTCTAAAGTAGTCATTGAGGTTTGCCATTTTGCCAATAGTAGGGAGTGATGTGAAGAGATTAATCCAAAACTTGCAACCTTTCTCCATTATTTATTGCGCTGTAGTTGAGGATGACATTCATTATTAATACAAGTTGGTCAGGAATGTCTTCTCTTGGCTGTGTTTGATCAAAAACTAAAAATAAAAGTTACCATTTTGTTTTAATTTAACTATTAAGTTTTTAATCAAAATATTGACTCTCAACTCTTAATGATTGAAGCTTACTCATCATAATCGAAATTATACCTCGAAGATTTTAAATAGTACTTTTGCTTGAAAATTCATTCATTGATTTATACCTTCATTGAAGGAGAAAATGTGTCAAATTTTATGTGATCAATCTCATCGGAATGATATAAAAAGAGGGAAAATATAAGTACTATATAAAAATAGAGGATAATCATGAATCCTCGTTGAATCTCCATTTTCTGCCATTTTTTATTCAGAGCTTGGGGATTTCAAAACTTTGGTCTAAATCCAACTCGAACAAGTAGAAGATTTGATAAAAATCGATAGAATAAATTTTTTTTATTTGATTAGAAGATGATATTATGGCGTAATATTATCATAGAATTCTTCAATGTTAGTCATCTAATCATCCACTGAAAAAAATTAACTAGTGAAAAAGCAAACTTTATCAATCATTTCACAAGATAATAAAGTTTGATGACTGACTATCAAATTTGACCATAACTTGAGTGGTTCACAGTGTTGGAATTATTTGGACTACTTGGAAATTCGAATGCTTAGTAGTTAGATATTTTCTATTAGGGCCCACTTTTCGAGGGTCACTCAAGAATCAACCATGATGCGAAGGAAATGGGAGAAAATTAAATCTAACAAATTATATAGTGATTAGCTTATTTATGAATTTGTTCGTACTTTCTCATCGTCTTCTTAAAACAAAGTATTGCACGATTAGCTTTACGCTGCTCAAGCGATGATTTAATTGCCCATCTTTCTCTTGTACAGAAATGTTACGCGCTTCAATATTAAAGGATCAACTCTTCTATATACATGTTAGAACCTATCACCTTACATGGGCATTATAGCCTTAAATTCACGGTAAATCTTCGACCATTATAAACCAACTCAGAGGGTGGCCTTCGTTTGGCTACAACTAAACATTCATGTATTGCATCTACATGACTAAGTTTGGAGTCAAATTCGAATACAATTAGTCAAGAATTAAGATTCAATTCGTATAGAAATTTATAAATGATTTATAAGTTTAGTTAAACACTAATTACAACCAATCCATCCATAGCTACTAATTATTATTATCCATCCATTTCGTAAGATTTAACCGCTATTTGGTGAAGATTAAAAACAGATATTTAGTAGATTTTGACAAAAATTAAATTGAAAATTTGTGGATCCCATAAATATTGGTTAAAATTAAATACCGACTTTGACTTATATAAAATCTAGATTATAGTTTCTACCAAGCAGGAGCTTACTGTTATTCCTATTTATAAAATTATTTATAAATTTGCCATATGGAGGCGAAGTAGAGTGACACAATTCCCTACTATAAACCCATTACTAATAATATATCTAACTAATATGGAACTTTATTTGTACTTCGTTGTATTTTTTTCAATTGTATTTATCAATCTCATAATAATGTCGAGTATGTCCTATTATTCACCATCGACGGGGAGGAAAGGGACCACTTTTTCTATAATAATTTATTTTGATAGTTTATAGATATCAATTTATTGTGACTAACCCATATATATTTGATAGATCACTACTAGAAGCATGGTTTTATAATTGTGGTTTCATTAGAAATCAACCCACAAAAACATGCAAATAAAATAAAAAATTGTGAACAATTGACAATTATCTATGTTGCAAGTCGACTTTGCTCTATCAGTTTCACATGTCATTGATGTCCGAAGAGAAAATTGGCAAAAAATATATACGGCTAGCTCGAAAAATTTACTACACACAGTATTTTCTTATTTTCATAAAAGTTGGTGAATTGGATAAGACAATTAGCAAATTTTATTAAAATTCAAATTCTTATTTAATGTACAATATTATTCAATTTATCGTACCAAACATGATTATAGCTAATAATGAATAAATCCCAAGACAACGAGACGTGATAAATAATTCCTATACTCACTGGATTTATAAACCTGTATATATTCAAATGTTTTCCTTATCGGGTAGTGAATGAGTTTTGATAACTTGAAGAGTACGACGATTTCAACATAGTTACAAGATAAGTTCAGTTTGTACGACTCTTTGGAGCAAGCAAAATGTACATATGCAGTCTTTAGAAATAAATCATACTATGTCAGAACCAACTCAAGGTATTAGGCTACTAAGGTGGTCGCCTAAGACCCCATTTTTTCTAAAATTACTTTTGTCTTTTTATAGTTAGTGATATTTTTGTAAAAAAATTGGAAATAAAGCCAAACCAGTAGACAACATCACTGCTCAATAATTGTTTTACCAGTGTCAAGAATCAAGGTGTCCATTCCTTTCTTTATTCTCTCTCTCTCTCTCTCTCTTCCTTTCTTTTTTTTTTTTTTTTTTTTTTTTTTTTTTTTTTTTA